GCCGGCGGCGCGCGTACGCTGCCGCCGCCGCTGTGCGACCGCGCGGCTCTGTGTGCCATCTGTCTGGAGCCGCTGCATGGACGGGACGTGGGGACGCCCGCCGGGTGCAACCACCGCTTCTGTCTCGTCTGTCTGCTCGAGTGGTCGAAGGTAAGCAGCACGGGTACCGCGCACGCTCTCTTGTCGCAATATCTATACTCATTCTGACAGAGTTACTTACGATTTCGGCCATGCGCTGAGCTTCGAGATGGCTGATGTCTGGCGTGTATGCATCTGTGCAACCTGTTTGCTGCTCGTTTCTAATGGTCTGGTTTCTTGCAGTGCGTTAACACCTGTCCAGTGGATCGCAACGTCTTTCACTACATTGTGCCGATTTATGAGAAGTGTCAACCACATCAGGTGAAGGTGAGTGCCATAGGGTTAGGGTTAGGGTTAGGGTTAGGGATGTGCCAGATGCAAGTGCCATATGTCAGAAACGTTAAATTCTCGAGCCTAGGAATGGGACGCTACGTCGAGTTTGGGAAAACTGAAAGTCTCCGATGTGTAATAACGTGCTGAGTTTGGGAAAACTGAAAGTCTCCGATGTGTAATAACGTGCTGAGTTTGGGAAAACTGAAAGTCTCCGATGTGTAATAACGTGCTGAGTTTGGGAAAACTGAAAGTCTCCAATGTGTAATAACGTGCTGAGTTTGGGAAAACTGAAAGTCTCCGATGTGTAATAACGTGCTGAGTTTGGGAAAACTGAAAGTCTCCGATGTGTAATAACGTGCTGAGTTTGGGAAAACTGAAAGTCTCCGATGTGTAATAACGTGCTGAGTTTGGGAAAACTGAAAGTCTCCGATGTGTAATAACGTGCCGAGTTTGGGAAAAGTAAAGGTGTCGCGCGCGCGCGTAACAGAGTGCAGCGCAGTGCGTCTAACGACGACGAGATCTGTCTCGATTCTTACAGAGGATCGCGGTGAAGGAGACGGAGCAAGAGCTGGTGATGAGTGACATCGACTGGGATGAGGAGGACGAGGATGCCGTGTACTGCGAGGCGTGCGGCGCTGCCGACCGCGAGGATCGATTGCTGCTCTGCGACGCCTGCAACCTAGGGTAACGCATCAAGGCCGCTCTGCGTCCAGCGCCCCCTAGCGAGTGCATCGTGCGAAGCAGAATTGGGCCGATCCGTTCGAGAGCGTGCGTCGAACGTAATAGCGCAGACGCCGCAAATTTGCGCCCGACGTTTTTGATCGCGCGAGGGGAAAAAACGCTATCGCGCCCCGCGAATGACGAACGCCGCTTCCTTTTCCGCAAATCTTCGGTTCATTTTCCGAGGGGAAGCCTCGCCTTGCGTCGGGCTGTCACTCACGCTGCTGCATGCTCACATTTCTCTTGCAGCTATCACCTGGAGTGTCTCGTGCCGGCACTGGAGCAGGTTCCGACGGGCGATTGGTTCTGCCATGAGTGCGTCGACGCCTGTCGCGTCCGTAGCGATCGTGCGCTCGGTGAGTCACCGCGGGCAGTGATACCCGCCGCAAACCTGGGGCCCCGTTGTCAGAAACAAAATTGGGCTTAGCATTAGTCTTAACATTAACTTTTTCTCTTAGTCCGTTGACAGAAACGCTGCGAAGTTACGAGAATGAAAAATCGTAGCAGATTTCTTTATAACGATACAAAACAAAGTGATGTCGACGGTCTAGGAGAAATTGTTAATGTTAAGACTAATGTTTTAAGACTAATTTTGTTTCTGACAACGGGCCCCTGAATGCCAGAGGCACGAGGAGTGGTTTCTGCTGTAGCTGTCGTGTGTCGGTTTATCATCTATAATCGGCTGCGGTGCCTGCAGAGGCGTCTGCCACATGCCCAAGTGGGGCGAACAAACACAAGATCGTAGTTTCTGATGGAAGGGGGTTTGCGTCGGTATATTAGCGATGATCGATTGTTACGGCGACGTCGGTCCTACAGCGAACGAATGCGGATGAGGAGGAGGTCAGGGTTCGACACTAACGCTAGTCCGTTAGTCGCGCAGACTAGCTAAAAAATAACTAGAGTTTAATGCCGCCATAGCCGTTAGTCGCTGCGGCACTAGTTATTTTGCCCGGCGTCCTACACCGTCGCCCTTTCCGCAATCCTCTGTCTCGATTTTAGCTAATACGTCTCGGTCCGGCGGGCACTTGTTCTGCAACGCAAGATCTAAACGAGCTATATATATACTTAAGTTGGCCATCAACGTAGTTTTCCACTGTTAGAGCCGGCTCAGTAGCACAGTAGACCGCTAGCATGCTCTGCACGCGCTCTAAGCACGCCGTAGACCTATGCCAGTGACAAGACATTGTTAAAGGCAATGGGCTACGACACGCAGTCTTACGCATGCATCGTTTGACAGTCAGCTGTCGCGCATTAGCAACAAACGCCTGATTGTATAAACTGACAGCAACTAGAATCAGTTTATACGCCTCTCATTAAGCCCAAGGTAATTTACATCACACACAGCATCGCATGCCGTGTTTTACTTGAACGTTGAAGCAGTCTATACAAATAGCTTATGCTATGTAGCTTGAATACAAGTAGTGAAGCATAGTAGGGAGCGTACTATCGCTTGTCATACTAAACATCAGGTTGTTATGTGGAAGTATTTTGCCGGCAGCTCGTCCTCCCCTCCCAAACGTATAGTCGCCAGGAGGAGAAGTAGATGGCGGCCATAGCGTGTCTATGATAAGACCAAAAGGATGCGGTACGCTTCCAGCCAGCGTGGAAATCGTTATACCCGTGGCTAGGAGTATGCACCAGGCCAAGGGTATGCACTATGACCTGCTGGTAGGGGCAGGCTGTATGTCTGCGTAGGTTTTCAGACACAGCACTGCAAACTATCGTGGGGAACTATGCCGAGGGGCCCACAGAAAAAGCAAAAGAAATAAAAGCGACCATGGCTGTTCACGGAAACAGTGGGGGCAAAACAGCTGCCACAATTAGCGAAAACTGAATATCCTAATATAGCAAGCTGCTGACAGCCTCTGATGATGATGGATTACGGCTAGCTACAGAGAATGCTAACCGCTTTCAAGAGAAGCGCTATGAAATGTTAAGTAACCAAGATGATATAAGATAGTTTAAAAAAATCATGATCATTCATTCATTTGTTTTCTTATGATCCATACCTCAAAGTTACGTATATTTCGTTAGGGCAATTGAATGTGCTTTGTAAAAACCTTTCCTGTGGAAAGCCCTTGTACCTGCGGAGGGATACCCGGCCTGCGTACCCCCTACGCAAGAAGGCGGGCTCTGGCGCCTCTCGCTACCACCACCTACGCCCATGGGCAAATCAGCAATGCTCCTCGCTTTCGCGCATAGTAAGCAGTTTTTCGGCAGGACTAGTTAGAATCCTTGAAGGAGCTAGTACAATTTTTAGCTCATAGACCTTGACATCGTGCAAGCCTGAGGCTAGTTGGCGCATGGCCGTCGTCGTACGTGCGTCCGTCTGTCTTCCGTTCAACATTGGCTAGCGGTCAACGATGAACTCAGGAACGTTTGACCCAGCATGTTTGAAAATTGGGTATAGGTTGTTACTGCTATGCTCATATTAAACGTCCTATTTTGGAGGGCACGCCAGTCCGTACATACTTTCGAGCCACGGCCCCGGCAGATTTTATTTGCGCCAAAAATGGAATTGTCCATTAGTCCAGTTCAGGCCTTCAACGGATTTTGCTGCATTTTTTCGTATGCTGTGAATGATGAAGGGCCTAGGGTTTTGATACTTGAAAAAAAAATTATGCCACAATTAGTTAGGGTTTGGCAATTATATAGCATTATTATATACACACGCAGATAACAACACGTCTGTGGTGCTCACACTTCGTCTGTTCGTTTGACAAGATTTCATTGACAATATTTATAATGCCAAAATTCCTGCTATGAACATATTGAGATTTATACGTATTATTATCTAATGATTATTATTAGTGCCATATAACTGCATTTATTGCTAACAAAGCATCACAGCGGGTATAGCCCGCCGCATCGCTACTGCTGCAAATTGGTAGCATTCATTTGGTATATAACAATTATTTATGATTTATATATAATCATTATTTATTATGTTCACAATAAAAATTAGCCATAATAATTATCAGGCTATATAGATGCCGGAGTTCCCGCCTCCGCCATATAATACTGCTTCGTTTCTATAATGTACGGTCGATGGCTATTTGCCCGCTCAATTAAAACTGTATTCTCTCACTTCACTCATTTGCTGTCCTTTTTTGTGGTGAGCTACAGTGGTCATTTGGATCACTTTTCTTTCATTTCTTTTACTAGTCCTGTGGACTAATGAACTAAAATGGTTGTCATCGGTCACCAGTCATTGTGGTCACGTCATTTTGTCATCTGTCATCGTTGCTTCACGTCGCGACACCATGTGGATTCGCTGGGAGGTGCCGTTGAAAAGTGCGTGGTGAAAGATAGTAGGTTGCTAACGTTTCAGCTTAACGACAAACAAAGGACAAGCTATTAAATCAGTGGGATTGCTGTGGAGTGGGAAGCCCTCACATAGCTGACCCAGGTCTCCGATTCGCACGTAGCCTGGCACCCGGTGGCTCATCGTTGGTTGTCGTGTGCTTTCAGACTGGACTCGAGAGGACGGACGAGGGGAAAGTGAGAGCGAGGCGGGATATGCGGCGCTGCGGCAGTGCAGTGTCGCACTGAGGCAGTGTCACACGACCGGCACCACAGTGCGGATAGACAGCAGCAGCAGCAGCAGCAGCAACACCAGCAGCTGCTACGTCGCCGATTCCGAGGTAAGAAGCAGACTGTGTTGCGAAGTATGCGATCAGGAGTAAACAATGGATGAACAGCAAACAGGTTCGTAGCGCGCGTCTTTCCAAAGTCTTTATAAGTATTATTTTGCCAAAATAAAATAAGGGCGCCTTAGTAGTACTTCATTTTTAAGTGAAATCTTAGAAAAAGTACTATAGCCTATTTTTGCAGTATTGCTTGCTATATATGAATAACGCGAATAATATAATCGCGGCTGCAATTGTGCTTATAAATATTATTAGCTGTACTTAATAGTCCGTGATCTATCAGAAAATCGCGTAAGAAAGGCTCCTTATTTTGGGCCTCCAGAAAGGGGTCTTATAATGTCCTTTATTTCAACATGTGTCTTATCTACTATGAAACCTGAGCAATCGTCGTAAGACGCTGTAGTCAAAGTGCGTATCGTTCTACCAGAGTTGTCTGCTCATGAATGCAGTTTTTGACCGTACGTGCTGTACGTTTGACCGTACGTTTCACCGCTGTCTGGCTAGGAGGTAGAGAGCGCCGGGAGCCGGGCAGCGAGCAAGAGCTTGAGTAGCGATGGAGATTCGACTCTGACAAACGCGAGCGGTGACGAGTCATCGACCCCCAGCACAAGCTCAGGCAGGATGTCACACGATGGGGAGGAGGAAGAGGAGGAGGAGGAGGAGGCAGAGGAGGAGTATATTCTGGGGAGGGAGAGCTTGTACAGGAGGAGGTGGAGGGATTTCTGGGTGGACACCTCATCGGATAGGTAACGTGGAAACTGCAGTTCAGTGACGTGTTGTGTCGGTGATAGACCCATGGCTATTTGACCGCGTCTGAGTGAGGTCAATCTGTGATGTCTCGATCTAGCCTCAGCACCATCTCAGTAATATGGTGTAAAAGTTCGATTCGGTGTGGTGATACACAGCAGAGAATGTTTGCCATAAATAAAAAATAGGTGCTTTGTTTGCCCTCAGACCCGACGCGACCCGCAAAAAAACGCCGACTCGCCAACTATTTTTTAGGTCTTTCCCATTCTTTTTTTTTTTACAAATTTTATGCAGCGCCTGTACATTGATATAAATCTGTAGGCAATACATTATAGATGTGCGACGCAAAACAACATCTCACATAAAAGCCTATCTCCACACACAGCACACCCGCAGCATGTTTAGACACCATGCTGAATTTGTAAAAAAAACAATTTAAAAAGCCTACCTACCCTACCCGAAACTTTTGCAGCGCCTGATGTCGGGTGAGCGGCAAACCAAAGCGTCTTTTAATTTGTGCCTTAGTAATTAAATCTTTGCATGGAGCTTGAGGATCTAATGAGAGCTATAATGAGAATACTGCCTACAATGTGGCATCATTGCTACGCATGCAATTTACTGCAGAATGTATTTCCGAGCGACTTCGCGTTTCACTAGCACTTCATCCGTACGCTTTGGCTGAAAGCTGTTCCATCACCATTACTAGCGCGCGCGTGTAAACATTTGTTTCATCTTGTTTCGATGCACGTTTATTATTTATATTCGCGCATTTGCAGTGACGTTGATGACTGTGTGCACCAATGAGCAGGCACTATCGTCTGCAGGAGGTCATGCAGAGACCAGGGCCCCGCATTCTGGAAGCGCAACGCAGGCAGCGATACATTATATATAGATATATATATATTACATATCTATACATATTACATATCTATACAGCACTGCTGCACAGTGTAAAAATCAACAATGCGTTATGTTCTGCATAGCTGCCATATGCATCAAATATGTATATAAGGTTTATATCCTGGAAGAACTCCCGCCGTAAAAAATCATCACTGCATGAAATTATATATTTAAGCTTCCTATAGAAGGGACAGGTGTGCATTATATTTAATTAGAGGTGTCTGCGGGCACAGATCAGACCAAATATTCTCTCTGGCATACGACAAGCATAGGTGGCATCATGTCACTAGCATGGTGACCATGTCACTAGCATGGTGACCATGTCACTAGCATGGTGACCATGTCACTAGCATGGCTGCACCATGTCAACAAGCATAGTGGCATCATGTGCACTGCAATGGTGACCATGTCACTAGCATGGTGACGCATGTCACTAGCAGGCACCATGTGTCTGCATGGTACACATAGCTATGGTGAACATGTCACTAGCAGTGACGGCATGTACAGGCATTGGCCAGTCGACTAGCCATGGGTGACAGCCTCGGATGGTGTCTGCGGATACCTGGTGGCTGATTAGTGATGGGTAATCGGTTGGAATTTCATCATCGATGATCGGTTTGCGCACCTAACGCAATGTCGATGAATCGGAGATAATCGGTGGATGTTATTGCATCCGTGGGCTACCAGATATTTGCTAAATATATCATATTCATATTATAGCAGTAGTTTTTTATGCATACAATATTCTAAAGCATGTAAAAGCAGTATTATGCTTGCTTATGTTTGGGTGTAGGTTAGAATTTAATAACCTCTACAAGCCTGGTGAAAGTAACCAAAAAACACCACAAAATAAATAAAGCTACT